TCATTGAATTTTTACTGATTTTCCGTGGAAACACTCCCACTTTACCGCTCCGTCTTATATCTCACCAATTTCGACCAGTAGAATTAACATTTCACTGCAAAATCTGTCGTACACAAATTCGTTATGCGCTGTGCCAAATCCAACTTTGCTTTTGTGGCGATGGAATAACGGCTTTCAGTCGATTTGCGTGCAATGACACTGTCTGCTCGCAAAATAAGAATAGTCGCTATTAACTGCTTTTTTTAGCGGAATTTTATCGATTATACCGCTCTATTCATAACTGAACTACCAGTTATAGCGTTTCTGAGACACAAACAGCACGAATCAAGAATACATTGATTGTACTTTAGAAAGTATATTTGTATTTAAATATATATATTTTTATAGCGCACACATACACACATATTTCTTCTTTGTACGATAATATATCGTGTAGAGGAGACCGGGGTATGTTGGCAAAGTCGATTATTTCTACTATTTTTTAATATATTTCAGAATCAAGCAAGCAAAAATTTTAAAGTCATCTTTGATACTTTTAAAAATCTTGTTTGTTTAATTCTATAACTTGTTAGAAAATAAATAATAAAAATAATCGGCTTTGCTAACTTATCTCGGTAACCAACTAGCCTCCCCTACATATTTAAATTCTATACGTGAACGCGTGTCATTACAAAAGCATCTACGAGGAGCGTGAACGTGTACGGCGCACATGAGAAATGACGTTTGTGTCATGTTTCTATGTTGATTCTTTACCGGGATACGGATATTCGAAGTTTGAAGATCTTTTAAACCGTCTTTCAGCGGCGATTGGCAGAACGCGCCATTACAATGGCTGCAAATGGAAGCTTAATCTTGGCTGAATCTAAGAGCATATACTAATCAGATTCACGAATTTTATAACAGTTGCAAAGCAGCTTTCTCTGCTGAACACAATCATTGTAATACGTTCACGCCGCAGGCTTGACACTTCTCACCCTTCTTCGTGTACAAGTGACGTACAATGTCGAGCCTTAGTCGCCGTCAAACGTTTTCCCGTCCGTTGATATCTCTTCGTAAAAAAGTCATACTAGCATCAAGTAAATTGCATTCAAAAGCTGGGAATATCGCGCTCTCGATGACGATGCGACCGTTTTTATATTTTATATCGATTAACATTTTACGGCAGGAAAATGGGAAAGTCAATCACCTATCTCTTGACCTGGAAATAAATCTATTAAAAGCGCGATTTCAGTGTCAATTCGAGCATAAGAAACGAATTGCAGTGAATATATAAACAAATGTTTGTTTCAATAAACTCGAGTGTAATGGCCATACGGAAAAGATGTCATAGCCTGTAATTTCTGCAATAATTGCGGAGTACTACGTTTTAGCAACTAAACGTACATAAACTACTGTTAATATCTTTGAGAATGACTACAAAAGCGCACTGCTTTAGTAATTATTGCAGAAATTACAACCTACCATTTTTTCCGTATCCATAATACCTGAGTTTATCCTATAAATGTAATTCGCAATTTAATTTTTATAAACTATCCCAGCTTATGTTTCCGTTACATGTTTCTTCTTTATGAGTATCTAGAAACGCATTAAGATAGATTCTTATCAATAATTCTAATCAATAATTGATAGCTGTAAATCACACGAGCGTTGGCTCTATCGTAAGATTCAACTGTCTTACATGCATATTAATGAAAAAAAAAAAAAAAAAACTGTAAGTAAATTGTATTCTATTATCGCTAATTGATAATCAGTGTCTGAGATTGCTAACTAGTGATTAGCACATAAATCATCGACGCGCGATCGATACGGCACTCGATGAAACTTGCGGTTTTCCTTGATACGATCCGCCTTACAATTTCATCATCATCGAGAGCGGCCGGAGAGTTCATTTCCCTTTATGCCCGCTATAATGTGCCTCATTCCCCGAAACGTAAAAGGGGAGGACGGCCCGGGTACTGAAGAAACGTCATCCACCTTTACGACGACGGCGAGCATGCCGGTTCTGCGATTGGCGGGAGGATGCCGCGGGTAGAAGAGAGAAGGTTGACGGAATATCGTATTACATCTGCGGAAGACGCGAGATTATTCGACCTCGGGCGAGGGAACGGGCTCTCGCGGCGCTGCAGGCAGGGAAGGAGGGTGTGCGGGTGTGTGGGTGGGAAAAGCGGAGGGAAACGTAGAGCGGCCGATTCTCTATTAGAGGGTAATACGTATTATCGATTTTGGGATGAAACGGGAGGTTATCCCGGTTCAAATCATGACAAATGTATAGATATACACCGACGTGCGCGCACACTGGCGGTGTGCTGGTGTGTGCGTCGCTGTGAAGCGCTCTCGCGACCGCACCCCGGAAAAACTTTTTCCAATCTCTCACTCCCGCCGCCCCGCCCCGGCCCGGCGCGCTCGCCACCGTGAATTTGTTTGCCCGGCCGAAAACAGGGTCGCCGACTTCGAAATCTCTCGCAGAATCCCGCCGACGAGGTAGTTCCTAGTGGCGCGTCTCTTAAGCAGATTCGTCCTTAGGATCTAACGACAATTACCTCGAATCTTCCGTCGCGTATTTGTTTTTTGGCGACGTACAGCCGTCATCGAGTATTAAGTAAAGCGACCAGATCCCGATTTTTCACCCTTTGTCCCGAATTTTTTCGAATGCTATTCGGGACACCGATTTGTCATCGTTTCAATGATTGTCAAATAATTTTCGGATCTTTTTACCCCCGCCCCCCGCTTCACACATTTATGAAGTGTCTCCGAATTCAGGGTAGTCATCTTACACATACCGCGAGGAGAAACGAGAAGATTACTTACAAATAACGTCTTCACGATACTCCCCGGCGATCGCACATCGCTATTATCGGCACTCCCGAGACTTATTAACGCGCGAGACTCACTTTCGATGGATAAAAGACGCGAGAAACGCGGAGCGATGTGGATCGATGTGTGCCCATGGCTGCTGCTTGGCGCGAAAAGATCGAGCATTTCGCGCGATTCATTACCAACGCCTAGATTGAACAACCACGATGACAACCTCGTAATGCGAAACGAACGCGATTGGCTAGTAACTCGAGCAAGTGGTTAAGGCGTTCGCCGCGGCGCGTCGTACAGATCGCGTCGTTGTAGACGCGCGACCTCGTTCGCATCACTGGCGCATTCACGTTCATGCACTTTTGACACTTTTGGCGCGCTAATGAACTTTCGGTGTACGTGATTGACAGCGCGCGCATCTTTTCATGCTGAGCCACTACCATAAACACAACGCTCCGTATTCCATACGTCTCTCGTGTCCTGTGAGTCTCGGAAATAAGTATTAGAATGCCGAAAATAACAACGTGCGGTCGTCAGGACATATCGTAAGTACATTATTACGGAGTAATCTCCTCCCTTCTCAACACATACAGCTAAGGTAGCCAGATTTTTCACCCTTTGCCCTGAATTTTTTCGAGTGTTATTCGGGACACCGAATTGTCATCATTTTCGATGATTGTCAAATAATTTTCGGATCTTTTTATCCCCCTCGCTCCCCGCTTCACACATTTATGAAGTGTCCCGAATTCAGGGCTGGGGAATCTGGTCACCTTATATTAAGACTTATTGTAGATTCTTCGGGATGTCCAGTCATTTTGATAATGCGTGCGAGTATTATCGAGATAACATGATAATGCACGAAAGACGCGCGCGGTTGTGTGCGATCGACGAGGGGGCTACTTGGGTCGCCGCGCATAGAGTCACGTGCCATCGGTCCTTTGATTCGAGAGACGAGTCGTTCGCCAAGATTTACGAGCCGCGTCAGAAGCCGGCTCTCCACTAAACAAAACAGCCCTTCGCGCGGACGGTCGCGCGCGGTCCGTACAAAGACAGCGGCTGAAAAAGCGTCGCGAGTATTGACAGGTACGGTGAGAAACTGCCCGGGTTAATCGCAGAAAAAGCCATGGAACCGAGCTCGGCGACACCGGCACAGAATTAAATACCCTTGCGTCGGGGTCGGTCGTCGAGCAACAGCGCAGAAAAAGCGCCGGCCTTTAGAAGCATGGATCCCCGCTGTTTTCTCGCCGGTCGAAAGAAGATCGATATTATTAATTGCGCTCGTAATGGCAAGGAAATTAGAAAATTATATACGAAATATGTATCAATAAACAGAGACGCGAGTGTGCGCTTTAAATTGTATAATTTGCCTATTTCTTTTTCACATTTAATTACATTAACTGTTAATGACATTGCTTTGTTATAGCTGAGAAGGGTCTCCGTTGTGATTAAAACATTTCAAGTCATGTTAGCATAAGGGAAAATAAAATACGCTCTTTGAACGTTAGAATCCTAAACATCAAAAAGTTACGTAAATCCTAAATCCTAAACATGAGTAAATTTATCCAATGCGTTTTCATTCGCTTATAACTTCTAGAAAAATGATCGAAATCAAATCTTTTTTTTAATCAGTGCAGAAAACATTGAGGAATATGAATCTACTGATGTCATTGCCATTCAGTAAAGTTGACAAAAGTTATATATATATATATATATATTTATATAAATTATATAAATATTATATAAATTATATAAATTATATAAATAAATTATAATAAAAAATATTAATAAATATTAATAATAAAAAAATATATTTTTAAATATATTAATAAAACATATATTTTTAAGTATATTAATAAAAAATATATTTTTAAATATATACATATATTTTATTATATATATTTTTTTATTTTAATTTTACACACATTCATATTTTTTAAGAACAGTCACGTTTAAAAACTTGATTAAGTTAAATTTTACTCATGTTTAAAGTTACAGAGTTAATAACGATTGATATACATAGCCAAGTCCAATCTTTATCCGTATAATTTAGTTAAAGTATTATATAACGCGTGTATAGATATCTTGAAAAATTTTATCGCTGGCAGATTTACATAGTCAAGTGCTTTATTGAGGTTTCCTCGCTGTCATTGAAAATTCTTCGATGATTCACGATCTCCTACCTATTCTCGTTTCAGCAGCAGAAATTTCTGAAGAGGACGGCCGAGGAGTTGGAGCCAGCTAGTGGTGGTGGTGGCGACGGAGGCTTCGGTGAACCACCAGTTAAGCTACAGTGTACGCAGGCTCAGCACCAACATCAGCAAGGCCCAGGCACTGGAGGTAGCGGTGGTCCGCATCACGGTCACAGTCAACATCAACCAGGTGGCGGCGCAAATTCAACGGGGCCTACACCTGGCGGCGGCGGCGGTGGCGCAAATAGTGGGAACGAGGGCCTAACCAAGTTTTCCGTGGAGATAGTACAACAGTTGGAATTTACCGCTTCCACGGCAAACTCGCAAGCCCAACAGATCTCCACGAACGTGACCGTGAAAGCACTGACGAATGCTTCCGTCAAGAGCGACTTGCTGAACGCGTCATCCTCCCCGAAACCCGGCCCCGACACACCCTCGTCAGCTGCCAATCGAACACAAGTTGGAGGCAGCGGCGCTGGTGCACCAGGACCCGGTACTGGCGGCACTGCCGGACCTCCCGGCGGTGGAGGAATCGGTTGTGTGGATATCGGCAACCTCGTAGAGTGCAAGCAAGAGCCCGGATTGGAAAGTGACTTCGTGGATCTGGAACAGTGTGCCGCTGCATTGGAAAAAGACGCTGCAGCAAACGGCACTACTTCCAGTTTTTCTGGGTTCCCGGAATTCATAGGGGACGATACCGGCGATGAGATTATAAATTCGGACACATTTAAGGATCTCATCTCCGAAATATCAGACTTTCATCCGGAGTTTATGAAAGACTTTGACTTCGAGGACAAGACCGTCGATACACTACCGAACAGCGCTGTTGCGGTGGCAACGGCTGCTGCTGTTGCCAATAATAACAACGGTAATAACGGCAACAACGTTCTGTCGATAAACAACGGACAGATCAAGATGGAGGACGACAAAGACGCGATCCATCAGCAGCAACAACACAACAGCGGCGCGAACAACGGCGTGAACAACAACGCCAGCAATAATAACGGTAGTTCTGTGCCAGCCAACGCGAGCCCGGGCGCCCTAGCTTCGTCGCAGTATTCGCCGGCGCGGCTTGGTTACTCCGGACTAGATTTCAAGTCCGAGATGAGTCCTGCTGCTCAGACCCTTAAACAGATGGCTGAGCAGCATCAACACAAAAGTCAGCAGCTAGGTCTCGGCGGATACAATCACACTGCTGCTGCAGCTGCCGCGGCGGCCCGAGGGTCGACCGCGAGGTCTCCTTACGCCGAATTTTCCCAATTCGGCGGCGCGTCAGACTACCTCGGCAGTCCTGGTAGCGCGGTTCCAACAGGCGGACAAACTCAGCCGGCCACTGGAACCGCCACTTACCACAAGAACAACACGACGCCGAACTTCCAGAATCAGCAGACGAACGACATGTTCGTAGGCTCGCAGACCCAGTTCACCGCGGGTCTGGCTGACATGAAGAGGCCTCAGCCGGCTACCGGCGGCAAACCCGGCATGCTCGGGCCCAGCGGCGGTTACAAGCAACCGTATTCGCCGTACAATAACAGTCCGGGTCCGATGCCGAACCACGGCAGTCCGCAGTATCCGCTACCACCTAGAGGATCGCAGACCGGTGGGCCCAACCAGACGAGCTCGCAGGGGCCCTTCAACAACTCCACGCCGCCTCGACCTCCTTCGGGACCCGGCACTTCTACCTTGCAAATAAACCAAGCACAGCAATTACACATAAACAACCCTGGACATCAGATACAAGTAAGTACAATACTCTTTGTAAATTTACCGAAAACTACATTTCGCGCGGAGAATCAAATTTACTCCTCGGTCTTGACTGATCTTTACATGAGAAACCGTTTAACACTAGAGTGCTAGTTCTATATTTCCAGAGCGTATCTGTAGTTTCAGTAGTTTCTATAGTTTCAGTGACTTCCTCCTTCTCTAGTGTTAGTTGGATACTTCTCACTTTAAAAATAATCAAAAAAGTCGGACGATATATTACAACATAATTATAATATCTTCGATATCTTCGATATCAGAACATTAGTTCTTAATACTAATTTTAGTATATTGTATTTGTCTGAGAGGTGCTTCACTAGAAATAAATGTTGGAAAGTAGTACTAGCACTCTAAAGTTTAGCATGCTTCAGTAACGAGAATAGTCTTCTCAGTCCATAATCATAAAGTGTGCTATGAAAAAAAATCGATCGATGCGTCTAGAATCGAGTTAAACGGGCTCAATTTCAGGGTATATACTATGAACTAATTTCCCCAACTCTGCAAGATTCTTGCGCTCTTTCGATCTCGTTTATTTATTTTTTGTAGAACGAACTCAAAATTTAAAGTAGATGATTGTAAGATTTGACTTTGTTGAATTGTAAGATAAGACTGATTAAAATCAAGTAATATAGGAATAAAGTACAACTGGAGTCAATTGCGGATTTAATTTATAATGTACTTTTAGCAAATATAAATTATCAGAACGTTATTTCCGAAATTGGTAGACTCTCTCTGCATTCATGATTCTCAAGAAAAAAATCACCACGAAAACACATTGATGTTCGAAAATTATGATGAAAATTATAAAGTTAACAAAATTAACAACGCGATGTACTATGATATAATATGTATGTCGCAATGAAAAAAAAAGTACTAACGAAGGAAACATTTTGCACAATCCGATACATAGATGCAGTTTTAATTGAAAGCAGTCATGCATTTAGAGAATATTATGTCTGTGTATGTATCTGTTGTAAATATATAAAATTGAAAAGAGAAAGAGAAAAATGGGAAAGAAAGTAAAGGAAGGATAACATCAGACGAAATCAAACATTTTTTAGGAGATCCAATAGCGAAAAGTAAATATCACGCAACTCAGTATTCTGTGGTATGTTTAAACCGTTATTTTGAATTCTTATATGACTTTGAAAATTAACACTATTATTTCCCTAACATTGATCAAGGCCAAATCAAACAACACATTTGTAAACAAAGATATAATGTCTGAGAATGCCAGTATAAATGTCGTCAAATTAAACAAAAACTACTAACTGAACACAATCAGATACTTACATACGACATAACGATTCTTTTTGAACAATTCCGTTTAAATATCTTAGGAAAGCCGTAGGCTGTAGGTGATAAATAAATCTGAAAAATATAATCTTCTACAAGTGACTACTGCAATGTTTTCCTCAACCCAATTAAATGAAGTAAGTCATGCAACTTTGCTTCTATTTTTTTTTTAACAGAATTATTTTTAACGACTTTGCAGATCTTGTCATCGCTAAATAACGCCTTTATTCTCGATACATACTCGCGATTGCCTACAACAACAGTTATAATACTCTTATCTGCTTTACGAGATATATGATATTTAATATTTTTCAGAAATATAAAAATCTTTCTCGCCGCACATAGATTTTTATTCAAATTATGCGTTGAATATATGTTAGTTAACATAGTATATAGTTAGTTAACATGTACTCGTGTCGACAAGTCCAACTTAAAGCATGACTCTTTTTTAATGCATTATACGGCAGTATAATTTGTTGACTGAAAGTTTCCTAGAATTTGCATAAATTTCGGCTGAAAATGACTACATTACATAGTTGAAACGTTTCGATATAATAAAATGATTTGTCTACATCTACAGTATATTATAAATTAGATCCGCAATTGACTCTTATTGCCCTTTATTCTAATATTACTTAAAATTTAAATTCCATCAGGCGATAATATAGTTGACTTAATGCATTATTGGTCATATTTTATCATATGATTTACTTAATTTTCCACCAGAGATTGAATCACTCGTATTATACAATTGGATGAAAATTTAGATATTTGAAAGAACATTATACATACAACTATAAGATTTAACCTTGACAGCCGACGGATTAAAGATTCTTATATTGTTCTCTCGTTTTAATTTAAGTACGTTGAAAAACGGTATATATGAAGAAGTTCATGTAGATTGCACATTCATTATGATATACAAGTAAAAGTAGACACATTTATTATAATATATAAGTAAAAGTAGAAAGTTCAATAATTGATCGTGCAATAACCAGCGAATACGACACTTCAGTGAGCAAGAAAACAGAACTGGAGCAAATTAGCAAAGAATATCGTAGCACAATAATGCATAGTCTTTGACTTAATTACGCGTGAGCTTTCAAACAATTGTATTTTACATATATTATTACTTTAGAAACCAAAACTCGTACGTACTTATAATCGCCGAAAGTCTTCTTTTCCAAAGCTCGAGTATCAAACTGATATTTGCATTACTAAAAATATCTGAGAAGAGAGAGCGATTCATTTTTTTGCGTCTTTTTATAGCTTCCCAGATGTCGCGTTACAAATCATTAGCTTACGCCTAAATTTGCTTTAAAGCCTTTAGACAATTTTCAAGAGATGTCGCCAATTACATCATTTTTCTTATACAACTGTTTCAGTTTTGTTTACTTTTTATTATTGATCAAATTTCAAGAGATGTCGCCAATTACATCATTTTTCTTACACAACTGTTTCAGTTTTGTTTACTTTTTATTATTGATCAAATTTTGCAATTAATATTTCAGATTATCGATCTGACTCAATTTTTATTCGTCTTTATTGCAGTTCAAGCAATAAAATTTGCTTAACTCACTGAGATTTAATACTTTTCATTTGATTTCTCAAAACACTACACGTTTAGCTCCTTTGGGTTAAGAGAATGCTGAAATTGATGACGAATTCGAGCAATGTCGATAATGCAGAAACAATCGTCACTAACACAATAATATTATCCTTTTCGTATTTCTTGTATGTACATACAGAACTTTCGTCAATGTATTACGTTGCTTTGTTTTATCATATTCTGTGGAAATGCTAATCACGGATATGTAGATATCTTTTTAAAAATTTTTCGGATATTCTTAAACTTTTGTGAATCTAGGTGCGAAAACATAACAATGTTCTTAAAAAATTTTCTGTTTAGAGCATCCACACTTTCGGTACAAGCCGCGGAACTTTTAGCAAATATTATACTGACAGCTTGAAATTTTACATTAAATTTTTTTTGTTTTTGTTTTGTTTTAGAAGCAATACTTCTATTTATTTTTGCACATATTTTTTGCGTAAAAGCGTTTCTAATTCTGTACAACCAATACGTAAACCTTGTAAAAAAATGCAAATATTCTGTGGGTAAAGTTTTCAGCATCCTCTTAAACACACAGATAGAGTTATTTCGAGTTAACGCGAGGCTCTCGAAGGAATACTCTCCTCGTCGGGAATGGAATTCGTATCGAGCTTCCAAGTTTCGACATAGCTCGCGC